ATATGAGACAAAGATATAGGGATGGTGTCATGTAGCTTTGTGCATCTTTGCTGTGTAATGACCCCTTGTTTCTTCTTTTTTGGTGCTTCAAGCCATCCCTATATCCCCCTTTCATTTTGAAGAAATGATTTTTCCACTTGTACATATTATTTAGTTTGGAACACTCTCAAGTACATTGTGCAGATCAAGGACTTCATCATCAAGTTCTTCAAGGACACGTATGTGAAAAATGCAAAATAGCTATTGACAAACCCGCATATTTCTATAGTGAACTGCATTCTCAGTTGCAACACAAGAATGCAATGCGAATAACCCTGTCACACACAAACATGTGGGAAAGCACTGTTCTTAATCTGGCTATGACCCACTGTCACCATAAAACAGTACAAGTGTTTAGTCGCCAAAAATGCAACTGAATTAAATTTATTCCCATTTTCTTGACAGAAACATTGTGCCATAACTGTAATGTCCATTGTGTTTTTCCTTCTGCCCCCAGCCTCTCTGAGCTTTCTATGGCAGCAGAACCTTGTCTGAAGCAGAGAGTGACTTCAATCGTGAGTCCATCATTGTACAGAGTCCAAAGCTTCCAGTCATCTTCGAGGGGAAGGAGATGGACCTCAGGTTCTCTACTCTGAATGAGAGTGATGTATTTGATGATGAGATTGAGGAGGAAGAAGAAAGTGCATTTGGGCCTATTGTTGTGCACTCTGTCAGCATTGTAAATGTCAATCCTGGAGCGATGGACGACAACTAAACACTCTTTCATAATGCATTTTTTTTTATTGTCTGTGTGCATTATATATTTTAAGACAGATTTAAAATACTACATGCACGTGGGGTCACTGCCAGGCAGACAAACAGGCAAAATATCGGTGTACAAAACCCAGCTCCAAAAAAACAGGGCTGTAGCTGGTCCTGTACTTCTAGCAGTTGATAAAGTTTAAGCTTTTGTTTGGAAGAATGCCACACCGATTATAAGCACCCTCACATTATCGAATGGATGTGGTAGAAAACAGAAACACAACAGTTTTAGGGATGGCACAGGTGAATCTCACATGATCTGAGTACAAAATGCTGCAAAACTCAGTGAGAATGCCTTAAAATAGACAGCCAAAAACTCACATGCCCATTTCTATATATAGCTCACGTAAGTCCATAAATGCCTTGGTTTTCTAGGCTGCTTACATGCAATTTAAAACACATGCATGATGTGTAAGAGCAGATGCACACGAAGCTGAGACAAAAAAATATCTGCATAATATTTTATAGCTGCAAATAAAAATGTGTTATCCCAACAACAAGTATCATCAGAAACTCAAACAATCCAAGCTAGCTCTGCCTAATGCCAATTTAAACCAAAAACCACTACCCCAACAAGTTCTAGTCAGTTGTAAGAGGTACCAGTTCACCAAGAATCAGAGAAGGTAAGACCATATTTATATAGCACTGAAGTACAACTCTCGGCGCATTACGCATGGTGCGTTGCCGTAATTGATGGGTGGGCTATGAGTAGGCGTTTACTTGTGTCTCCACGCTAGTTGGTCGCGGAGTCTGGACATGGGCTATTATTATTATTATTATTTCAGCTTTACAACACAGGTAGGAGGTGATGCCATAAAGAACTGTGACAGATAACATGGAGGTGGTGACAACTGTGTTGAAGGACTGAAGGCATCAAGCCAGCAGCCATAAAAATAAAATAAAAATTACACAGAATAGGACATAACATGGACAACATTTAGATAAAACTAGTGAAATGCATTGAGATGGGAAGCTTAGAGCATTTTTGGCATGGACAGACATAGTGATAGGAGCATACATTATCAGAATCAAAGTGTGAGATGAAATGAATCCAAAAGAAGTTTCGCAGTCTAGACTTGACGGTAGCAATAGGGAGATTAATGTCAAATGATGGTAGAGAATTCCAAAGGCGGGGAATACGATTGAAGTAAAAATTTCTCTCAGACTGGTTTTTACAAAAGGAGTGCCTTAGCTTGAAATGAGAGGATGAGCGTGTAGGGTTGTCACAAAATTTGACATAATTGAGTATATTGAAGTGTTCGGAGGGGAATTTTAGGGACTTGATGAGAAAGATAATATCAGCAATTTCTAACTCCATCATTAGCGGTAAGAGATGTAAATACATCAGACGATTTTTATAATCCATTGCAGTACCCTTCATGACAAATTTTGTTGCTCTTCTTTGAACGAGTTCCAGACACTTTATATCCATCAACAAGTGTGGATGCCAAATGACCGAACAATAGAGCAACTGAGAGCGTACAAGGGATGTATACAGGTAGCGTTTAGCGAATACGGACATGGAGTTTGAAAAAACTCTGCGAAGCAGACCTAGCATTTTGTAAGCTTTGGATGTGATCAGCTGATAATGCGGTCGCCACCGTAAGTTGGTTGATACAATCAATCCAAGATCCTTTCCTGTGGATTTATTAGAAATTTCTTTGCTATTCATAATGTAGTTGCACATTACAGCGGAGTGGCCAGTAGTGAAGTGTAAAACAGAGCATTTCTCTTCATTAACAGACAGATTCCAAGTGTGGCACCACTTAGAGAGACTTGTAAGGTCATTCTGGAGAAGTATGCAGTCTTGCAGAGAAGAAATTGGCATAAAACACTTGGCATCGTCAGCAAAAAGCAGGATTTTACAAAATGAAAATGTAGAAGGAAGATCATTTACAAAAACAAGAAATAAAAGAGGACCAAGAATGCTTCCCTGAGGTACACCAGAGATAACGGGCAAAGTGTCTGACGCAGATTGCCCAACAGATACATACTGAACCCTATTGGTCAGATATGCCCTCATCCAGGACCAGAGTTTGCCAGTAATACCGAATTTCCATAGCTTGTAGAGTAGCTCACTGTGAGCTACAGAGTCGAAAGCTTTCCTAAAGTCTAGATACACCACATCTGTTTGAGGTACAGAGGAGTTGAAAATAAAATGAAAAAATATAAGCAGCTGTTGTAGAGTAGAGCGACCACGTAAAAAACCGAATTGGTGAACTGTAATGGAGGATGTAACGAAGTCCACAATACCATTGTATATTAGTTTTTCTAGAACCTTAGAGACAACCGGTAACAGAGAAATTGGTCTGTAATTCCTGACTGAGGTTTTATCACCAGATTTAAAAATTGGTCTTATTAAGTGAGTACGGGATAGAGTCAAAGAGAATAGATAATGAAGTGGTTGGTAGAGAGCCAGAGCACAAGTTTTAAGTAGCTTAGGACTAATTCCATCACATCCCATAGCTTTGGACGGGTCAAGGGATCGGAGAGCACGGAAAACATCTAGTTCGCTAAAGGTAATTTCGCCGAGGAGAGATGGAGGCTGAGACAATTCAGTGAGAGGTGGTAACTGAAACGAACTTTTTGTAAAAATAACTCATTAAATAATGCAGCTTTCTCACAATCAGAGGCAGCAGTAATGTCGTCAAGATGTAAAGATGAAGGCAGTAAGTTATGATTGGATACTGAGCGAATATAAGAGAAGACCAGAGAAGACTGGTGAGAATCAATAAGATTTGTTTCAAAATCAGTTTTGGCTTGTGCTAGCTTGCATTGGAGAAGACGTTCCAGATTCATAATTTTAGTGCATCTTTGTGAAGTAGGATGAGATTTAAATTTTCTTCTCAGTGAACGCAGGCACTTGAGATGATGACGGATATCGGAATTGAGCCACTTTGGACCTTGACGACGTTTAACCAGTATCTTTGAAATAAAAAGTGACATAGCTTCATATATTATTGACTTAATAATGAACCCAATGTCTGAGCTGTCAAATATAGCACTATAATCTGAGTCTAGCAAGAAAGAGCAGAGACCGTCAAAATCTGCTTTACAATAATCAAATACATAACCAGGTTTTGATACACTGACAGTAGGAACACTACAAGGTAAATCAAAACTTATTGCAAGGTGATCTGAAAAATTGACAGCTGAGAGGGGATGAATAGTTAAAATATCAATGACAACACTCGCAGAGGTAAGAACCAGGTCAAGTACATTTCCTTTGACATGAGTAGGCTCTAATACATGTTGAGTTAAATTACAGTCAAAAACAAAATTACAAAAACAAATAGATGAAGATGAAGTACCCATTAATGCTAACCAGTCGATATCAGGGAAATTAAAATCACCTACAAAAATACATTTACTGAAAGATGAGGTAAGATGAGTAAGAAAAGAAGAGACATGGGAAAGAGACGACTCAGGAGGTATATACATAAACACAGCAGATAACAAGCTCAGTACCTATTCTAATACATACAATTTCAAGATCAGGTGGAGAGGGAATTAGAGAACTTAAAAGTGAATCCCTGACAGCTATTAACACACCTCCACCACGTGAAGGCCTGTCTTTACGATACAGACTATAATCGGCAGGAAGGATTTCATTGTCAGAGACATACTCAGATAGCCA